CAAAAAACAAATTGAATGTGCTATGTGTCTACTACTAAAATCTACAAGTTCATAATCTATAAAGTTAGTGGATTGACTAATGAACAAAATTAACTAGAGTCTAGTCTTAGAGAGTCTGTTAATTCTAGCAGAGTTGATAAACAACAGCTAAGAAATACCATAGCCGATTACCTATGATTTTAGAAGACCCCAAGTGCTTTGGAGACAAGAAAAAGTGGAAAAAGTGGAGTTGGGTAAATGCAGTGCAGTGGAAAAGACCTCACCTGAGGAAATGCCATTTGGGCAAAATCTTGACAGAAGTAAGGGGATCTACCCTGTAGATTCTGGACAGGGTGTTGGAAGGGTGGGAGATTGTCCAGAAGGAAGCATTCCAAGCAGAGGGAGCAATTAAACAAAGGCCTTGGGATGGGAGCGTGTCTGGCATGTTTGAGGCATAGCAAGGGTGCCAGTCTGGCAATCATTTGGGAAAGAGATCCAATTAGCTGAGGGTAGTGTCCACAGTGGAACCTCTGCAAAGAGAGATTTTGAATCAGCTTAATAAAGAGTAGTCACAAGTATCCTCACATGGAATGTGCCGATTTCTACAGAGCCTACCATCCAGTACTTAAGAGCAAAGCTTCACCTTCCGGGTGACATGCTAAAACAAAAAGCAAAAATACCAAACCCACTGCTATCGAGTCGACTCCAAGTCACAGCAACCCTACAGGACAGGGTAAGATTGCCCCTTCGAGTTCCTGAGACTTAAATCTTTCTGGGAGGAGAGACACTCTTCTTTCTCATATGGAGAAATTGGTGGATTTGAATGGTTGGCCTTGCAGTTAGCAGTCCAACACATAAGCCACTACCATACCCAGGGCTCCATCACAAGTGGAGCAACTTTCTGAATCAGTGAGTCTTTGGTTTTCCTTTCTGCCCCTCGAACAATCACAGCTGCCATTTCAATCATCTGCCCAGCCTGAATAAGGAGAAGAAAAAAACTAAGGATGACACTGGAGCACCAGGATTAGTGTTTCAGCCAGCTTTTTAGGCTTTTTGATGACTATCTGAAGAACACCAAGGAGCCTGGTGGTGTGGCAGCCTACACCTTAGGCTGCTACCCAAAAGGTCCAGTTTGAAACCACCAGCTGTTCTTTGGGAGAAGGATGTGGCTTTCTACGCTCATAAAGAGTCTTCGAGGGGGGAGTGTGGATGGAGACCCAAAACCCATCTGTAGGCCACTGGACATCCCCTTACGGATAGGTCTCGGGGAGGAGAC